ATTATGTCCCTACTGGATGCAACAAATGCCTTGTTTATAATGGGTTTTTAATGTTTTTGTCTCGTCGCTCCGGCCGGGACAAAGCATCACAATATGGTGAGCGGCGTAACATTTCCGTCACACGCTTGAGGTATTCGGCCAATCACAACGCACTGGATAGCTGGCCAATCAGAGCACACCTCGCTTTTCAGACCGATGAGCTTCATAAAAATCGACGCGTTTCAGAAAGGAGGGGCATAGAGGAGAAACAATAATGTACAGTATGTGGAAAATAATGTGTTTTTTTAACCTTAAACCGTATAAACACATTTCATTACACCAAAAACACAAAATAATGTTCTTTTTAGCAACATCATATGACCCCTTTAAACACAGTGTATTGTACATTGTGTTACTGAGAGATCAAAGATGATAATGTATTATTACTGGGATCAAGGGCTGCAGCCCACATGACTGTAAAATATTTGTTGGTAACAACTTGCTGACAACTCTAAATACACGACCACAAACTTGATTCAACGTCCTGTGCATCTGGAACCCAACTGCGAATTCAGAAAAATGCTGTAAGATTTCACCATCACTGAGACCCCATCACTGACAAGCCGATGTGTGATGGAGGTCAAGAATGTGCTTACAAAATCCAGAGTCATCACAGAAATGTTTGGAATTAATGTATGATCTTTCAATTCTTTTTGATCTACAGGCTTGAAATTGGTTTTGTAGACAAATGAACCATGCTTACGCATGACTTTCTCTACAAAACTAAAACAAAACTTTTATAAAACACTTACTGCTGAGAAAAATTAGCCGTGGGCGCTGATGTTTTCTAATGATGTCAGTAATACAGTCAGCAGTTGGGATATTTTGCAATCAGAATGAGATGATTCATGGTTTACTGATATGACATGATTTTTGCTACTGTGTTGGAAATGTTGTAATGACAAAGCATGACTGTGAGCCAGAAGATCTCAGTTGAAAATTCTGAGAATGAGAGTGTGTGAGAGAAAGAGTGTGGGAGAAACAGAGAGAGGGAAAGGTTATTTTCCAGTGGCTCAGCTCTCTTCTCTACAGACATTTCCTGCTCTGGCCACTGAAAATAACCCACAGGAAAGTGGCCCAGCCTGGACTAAAAGAGTGGACTGTAACCCTCGCACACAATTTCATGATCTCACAGACCAAACCAATATGGCGCACATTAAAATATATAGCAAAATATATTAAAATGTTATCCGGATTCTATAGTTTTGGGGTTACTCTGATTCTTAAAGCCATTCACACCATAAACAACCACTTTTAACAATAACTTTAAAGTTTTAATTAATTACTGTCATAATTCCATGAGAATAGGGAAGTCCCCACCACAACTAGGAACAATATTGTTGGAATCACTTGCAGTAATCACGCTTTTCCAGCTGATGAATGATAAAAACATTCACAGCCAATCAGAATCCACCTGGTTTTAAAGAGGCTACATAAGGAGCTTAAAATATCATCTTGTTGTGATGTTGTGTGCCAGAATTAGAATTAGAAATTTGATTGCATATCTGCTGCCACTGCCAGACAAAAAACCGATGACAGCTGTGGTTAAACAAGATAAAACGAGCAGACTGGACAGAAACGATCGTCAAAAATGCTCGCGTTTGCAGCGCACACTTCTTATAAGAAAAGGTTCAATAAAGTATTGTCTTTTGTTGTTATGGGCGCGTCTACAGATTTCTTGCCATATGTCTATGTTTCTTGCATCTCACGACTATGTCGTGTATGAAATAATGTCTGTGTGCATGTGTGTAAAACAACAAACTGACATAGTATAACTGTATATACATATTAGGGGGAAATGGTTAGAGAGTCGGACTCGTAAACCAAAGGTTGCTAGTTCGAGTCTCAGGTCCGGCAGGAATTGTAGGTGGGAGGAGTGAATGTACAGCGCTCTCTTCCACCTTGGGGAAGTCGTGGCCTAATGGTTAGAGAGTCGGACTCGTAAACCAAAGGTTGCTAGTTCGAGTCTCAGGTCCGACAGGAATTGTAGGTGGGAGGAGTGAATGTAAGTGAACGCTCTCTTCCACCTTCAATACCACGACTGAGTTACCCTTGAGCAAGGCACCGAACCTGTGTGTGTTCACTGCTGTATGTGTGCACTTAGGATGGGTTATCATATCTTCATCATGACTAGATAGACACGGTGAGTTTGTCTTTACTATACACGTTAGATGTGATCCACCTCATAGTAACAATCCTGTCAGATCGTCCATCCTTTGAGTGACCGTTACAGGTCGTCTGATCTTGTCTGGGGGTTTGGCAAAAGGAGAGTGGGACGGTTTTGACAATATGGGACCTTTAAAGCAGCAGATGACTAAACTGCAACACGCTGATAAAAAAACGCTTATCCATCGGTGTGGACGTTAATATACTTATCGTTGTTGTTATCTTTATACCAGGTTAATGTTGCGCAGGCATTCAATCAGGAAAGATGTGACTATATATTGTAATTTACAGACATGACTCAGACCTGTCTGTGTGAAAAAGTTTTTGGGTATTCTACGGACTCCCTGATTAGAAAATATAGCTTGTTGATCTATAAAGTCTTAGCCGAGGTGGCCTTTTTGCAGTGCAGTAGTGTAGTTATGGCATCTACTGGCAGAGGCTAACTAAACCATGCAACCATCCAAACAGTGATCCCTTGGTCATAACCACCAAAATATGTTGATTGTTATATCTAATAATCATTATATAGTTTATAGGCAAGTTATAAGTGCACATCAGTGAAAACAACAATAGCACTCATTATGTCTATTATTAAGAGAATAGTGATATTTTCTAATTTTTGGAGCCATTTCGGCTGGAGAGTATGTATCTACGTCATGAGTTTTCTGCGCTTTTCTCAGTATTATTCACGAGAAAGTACTCTTATAATCCAATCACTGCGCTGTATTATGCATGAGGTCGTATTAAAGAGGAGAATTCAAATCAAGCGCGTTTCAAGTTTTCGTGAGCATATTTCATATTTTATTGTGCTCCAAACATGAACCAGCACTGTGTATGCGCACATATGTCTTCTTCAAATGAAATGTGACCCTGGAGCACAAAACCAGTCTTAAGTCGCTGGGGTATATTTGTAGCAATAGCCAAAAATACATTGTATGGGTCAAAATTATTGATTTTTCTTTTATGCCAAAAATCATTAGGATATTAAGTAAAGATCATGTTCCATGAAGATATTTTGTAAATTTCCTACCGTAAATATATCAAAACTTAATTTTTGATTAATATGCATATGCATTGCTAAGAACTTAATTTGGACAACTTTAAATGCGATTTTCTCAATATTTAGATTTTTTTGCACCCTCAGATTCCAGATTTTCAAATAGTTGTATCTCGGCCAAATATTGTCCTATCCTAACAAACCATACATCAATGGAAAGCTTATTTATTTATATTATTATAAGCTCAATTTACCCTTATGACTGGGTTTGTGGTCCAGGGTCACAAATATGTGCAAATAAAGGCACTGATATGGTGGTATGCGATGACACGACGGATTGTGATGAGGCGTTCATATGTCGCGACTTTTCGTGCTCAAATTTGTTATTTGAAATGTAGATGCGCGGAAATAGAGAGTGACTTTTGGTGTAAAAGGGCCTTTACAGTTGCCAAAAATAATTTTTTTTTTTTTTTGTAATTAAAAAAAAACAAATAAGCAAGCCCAGCCCAGATGACAGAAATTGTAACTCAAAAGGAACATATTACTTTCTATAAAAAGTAAATAACAAATGCAGTTAGTTACTTTTTATGGAATAACACAATATTCTAATGCATTACTTTTAAAAGTAACTTTCCCCAAACACCAAGTACACCTAATCATAGCAAACATTTGTAAAATTTCTCAATGTATTCTCAATGAAACATACTGTAATGCCCAATTTTTTCCTAAATTGCTCAAAGGGTATGCGTTATATATTTTTTACTTCGGAATCGTGCTTGAACTGGCACAAAGCTATTACCATATCTGTAACCTCAATCAATCACAGTACATCCCTCAAATCAAGACCTATTAAACAAGACAACTGTAGCTCAGGATGGTGACGTGAATAATGACATATGCACAAACTGACCTGTTCACCTCACATGGTTCCTGAACTTCATACACGCCTGTGTTCACATCCTGGTTTGAATAAACCCAGGGCAGGTTCATGTACTCCGGAATCTCCTCGTATAATGGGACGTTCTCGTATTCCACTCCGCAGTCAGCCTCACTGTCAGCTTGAGCTTCTTCATCATCGCAAGGTGCGACCTGATTAGTGGGCGTGGCTTTATGCTCCTCGTATTCAGCATCAGTACGAGTGCAATCCAGGGACTGTCCACTCCGAAGCAACTTCGGAAGCAACCGTGCACACACACGCAGCTCTAGAAGTTTCCGCAAGCTACGGCGTGTTTGATCGGAGCGCACCAACTGCTCGGAAGATACGGATCCGGTGTCCACTCTCTGAAGATCTGCAGAAGAAAACGACTTTGCCCTCTGTTTGACGAAAAGAGGTCCCACACCTCCAGCCTGTGGTTGGCTGTTACTGCGAGTCGGCTGGTTCCTACTGAAGAGAGAGATGTTAGGAAGAGCGACTCGCCATGAAGGTTTCTCCTGAGGAGGTGCTGGAAGATCTCTGAATATGGGAGGACTGGAGTTAGGAAGGGGAGGAGGAGTGTGTGTTAGTGGAGGCGTGCTTTGCTTCTGCAACACGACGGATGCGGGAAGACTGTTTCGTTGGGGCTTTTTAGGCATGACTTTCGGTGACTTTTCCTCCCCGTCCAGAGACGGCTTGGTTATAGCTGCCACTTGTGAGCCACAGCTGAGCTTAATCTGTTTAGGAAGACTCCGAGTTATTGGGTATCGAGCAAAATCTCCATATGTGCCATCATCTTCATCATCGCTTTGCACCTCCTCATCTTTACACTCAACCTCCTGAAGATCTGATTGGCAATGCAAAAGCAAGTTGTCCACTAATGTTGAGGCCTTGCATGAGGAATCAACCATTTGTGGGAGGGATTTCTGTCGAGGTGGCGGAGCTGGAGGTTGCGACCCCTCCTCCGCAGCTGTGTTCATGGAAGCTAAAGTTACACCATTTTTCGGAACTGAATAATGGGTGGAGTCTAGATCAGGAGGCACGTCTTCAGTATGTGCACTGTGAAAAGAGTCTACATTGTGCAAAGAATCAGTGTTGGTTGAGGAGTCAGTGTCTGTGTTTTCCGTGTTATCTTTAGGGGAACATAAATTTAGAGGTGTGTCCGTGTAGGTGTGACAGCTTTTTGAAGTGTTTTGGGGATTTTCTAGTAATGTGTCTGTCTGAACGTGTTCAAGAGTCTCTGTAGGTGTATCTGCTTGAGTGTCCAAAGGTGCAGTTTCCACAACATTCTGCCTAAGAAGTGCCCTCCGAGGGCGTCGTGGATGGGGTACGGGGAGTGGCTTGCTGGGTGGTGCAGGAACACCATCATTGTCACTGGTGCAAGAGCTAAAAATGGAGTTCCCGGTGTGTTTCTGCTCTGCAGACCATTCCTGCAGACTTTCCGTAGGACTGTGTCTTGGGATCTGCACAGAAGTTTGTTTTTGTGTACCTGCCTGGTCTTTTTCTAGTGTGGCAGAGTTTGGTTTTTCCTGTGCCTCTGTGGAAGTGTGGGATGAGTCCGTGGGAGCATGCATTTGTTCCCATTCAGATCGGGAAGCATGTTCCAATGTGTCATTGTAAAACAACTGTTCTTTTGGGCTGTCCCCCTCTTTGAAAACACTTACCTCTGCTGTTCCACATACTTCCTTAGAATCCTCTGATTTGCTGTTACCTAGTTGATGACCTTGAGTACTGGGTGGTATAATGTAATGTGACAGGTGTGAGGATAGTAGAGCAGGAACCCCATTTTTGGAGACAGGGGGAAGTTGGGTTTTGCAGGGATCTTGTCTTGGCTGGAGAGGTTTCTGAGGGGCTTTGGGCAAACATGGTTTGGGGGCGACAGCAGGTTTTCCTCTCTTGTGCGCAGTGGGTGAGGGTGAAGGCAGCAGGATCTCTGGTTTTGGGGCGATGGGGGGAGGTGATGGTTTCTGCGACTGAACCAGCTTGGGTTTGGGGGCAACTGGTGGTTTCTTCATTCCTACATAAACTCACACAGAAAAGAAAGAGAGGGAGCTACATGAATTCCATGAATAGACTTGCATACCACATACACACAGCTGAACACGATGGCTCATGACTGAGATCAAGACTGAAATGCAGCTCTGAAACATACATCAGCATCTGCACATAGAAACTTTAGATTTATTTGATTCTCTGCTATTAGGATTGTGTGAGGTTCTGTAAATTATGCTCCAGTCCAGTATGGGTCATTATCAGGTCAAGATTTTGTCATCTTTCACAATAATGCTTAATAGCATATTCTAGTACAGCATTCTAAACAGTGGCTTCTAATATCCAAAATCTAATATCAGACCTTTCCTTTTATAGCCCTTCATGTACCAAGAAAGTATGTTAGATAAATGAGTTTAACATTTTTAGAGACATTCACCTATGTTTGGATATTGAAGAGCATTCAACTTTCAGAAAGAATGGATAATACAAAGTCTAATTAACTGTCAGGTCCATTTATTGAATTGTAGGAGATGACAGCTGCAATGTTGAGGAAAATATCCATATTTTACATATCACACACGTATCAAATGTTGTAGCCATTTAGTTTTTCTGGTGTTGCTATTATATCCCAAACTATTATGTTATGGTTTCATTGGAATAATTGAGTTGACATGATGCTGAAAATTTAGCTTTGATCACAGCAGTAAATTACATTTTTAAATATATTTAAATAGAAAGCAGTCATTTTAAATAATAAAAATATTTTACAATATTACTGCTTTTGCTGTATTTTGGATCAAATAAATGCAGGCTTGGTGAGCAGAAGAGATGTTAAAAAACATAAAAAATCTTACTGTTCAAAAACTTTTACTGTGTGGTAGTGTGTAAGTTGTGAAAGAAAAAATATAAGAATGATTAGGACAATCTAAATTATATACATAAATCAGTTTCTCCTCAGCCAATGTAATGTTGTTGAGCTGATGAAATTACAGGTGAAGGATGGTTTTGATATTGCCTGATTTATAAATGTTCTCATAAACATTAAAGTCTCAGATATCAAATAGGGACACAGCTATTTTGTATACATAAAAATTTTGTAATTCCTCTTAGTTTATAAAATGTAATCTTTATGAATTACTGAGTTATAGACAAAAACTGGAAATGTTGCTACGTTCAGAACTAATAGCAGGCATGGGATATATTCTAATGTCTCAAGAATCAGTGTGTAGTAAACACCCTAATTTCCAACAAAATGCAGTTACTACAATTCTTGTTACCATTACTAGCATAAAAATATTTTATAGGGGTCATATGATGCGATTTCATTTTTTCCTTTCTCTTTGGAGTGTTACAAGCTATCGGTGCATAAAGAAGATCTGTAAAGTTGCAAAGACTAAAGTCTCAAATCCAAAGAGATATTCTTTATAAAAGTTAAGAGTCAGCCACACCTACCTAAAACGGCTCGTTCTAACACACCCCCACATATCTACATCACTATGTGGGAAGACTTGCATAACGCCGCCCAAATGTTCACGCAAAGAAAGAAGGTGTAACTTTTATTCTCTCTGTAGTATTGTTGCTGCCACCATGTCATGAAGACGTTGTGTGTTAAATAATGTTCTTTTTAGCAGCATCATATGACCCCTTTAAATTGAGTAAAATAAAGATGTTTACATGGTTTGAAGCAGATCCTGTTAGTTTTAAAGTAACTAACGTTACAGATATCATAGAAACTTTGTACAGAAGACCCTACCATAGTGGAACATTTTGATTTCAGACCTCTCCTTTTACAGATGTCACAATTAACGATAAAAGACGAAAGCAATTGTGTTGACTTCGCTGAATTCACTTAGACAGCGCTTTCGGGAGAAAAAAAAACTACAACTTGGGTTTGTTGATATGCTCTCTTGAGGAAATGTGGTCTTCCCATTCCAAGGGAAGCAATCCAAGACCAGTGTTGCCAACTACTTTTCAGGGGAAGTTGCTAAAGGAAGGTTGATTTGTTGCTAAAAGTTGCTAAATGATGTTGTGATGATTTGCCATTACGTAATCACGATGCAAAATTGTGTCAAATCTCAGCAAAAACATATATGTTTTATATATGTTCATTTAGATTTGTTCGTAGCAATATAAATGCATAATATAATATTAAAATAGAAATAACTATTTTTAAATTCATTGAATTATCGAAAACGTACACCTTTTTGAACGATTACAATGTAAGTTTTATACTTTAAAGCAGTTTGTTAGTAGCTAGTCAGTATGCTGCACTCTTAAGAAAAGTACAAAATAATGCACGAGCTACTGTGTTAATACGAAGGTATTTTCTGGATTTCTTTTTCCACAGGTTCTTGTACCTGCATTTTTAATTACGCATTGTACTTTGTGTTTTTTCGGGTTACAACGGATAATGTCCTGGAAAGTTACTAGCACCTTTTCCATTTTTCTTACAGTGCACTAACTCATCAACAATCACTGGTACAAGCTACTGACAAAGTGTCTCATAAATGACAAAGAACAATATTCAATTATTATTATTATTATTAAATGAAACAATTGCGAATAGCAGCTAACTTAATTCCCTTAACGTGTGTACTGCTAGGCATCTTTGGTTTCCTCTTTTTGTGTAATTTAAATGGTCAATTGTGCCTTTTTATCGTTTGAGTCACTTATCAAAAGTTGCTAAAAGCTGCCAAGTAAATTTTAAAAAATTGCTAAATTTGTTGCTAGGTGCTCTTGGAAGAAAAAGTCGCTAGGGTAGTCTGAAAAGTTGCTAAATTTAGCAACAAAATCGCTAAGTTGGCAACACTGTCCAAGACTAATCCTGGAGGCGCCCTCCTCCGCTCAGTCGACCCGGAGCTCGTGCTTCAGTCCGGATCCAGGAACCGAGCTCACGAACCGGCTCTCGCCGGAGTCCCTGCCTCTTCCCCGGCAGCACCGAGCACGCGAGACCGAGTCATCCTCAGGCGGATGTACAGCAGTGGAAAGACATTCACGGGACTTCTCCACGTTACCCTCCAGCGGTGTCCATATCGATTGACGAGAACAAAGGAAAAAGTAGTAACCTCGAACCAAAATGGTTATTTGTGTGTATATTAAAAACCGAATGGACGGGGAAAGGAAATAAAGAAAGGTTGAAACAAAAGAAAGTGAAGTCAAATTAAAGTATTCCGTGCGGTTTCCATATATATATGCCTGGGAAAAAACCTGGATAAGGCTGAAAATAGAATCTCCCTCCAGGGTTCAGCTTTTAAAAACCACAACATCGTTCCTTACCTTCTTCATCCAGGAATGTGTTATGCTTGTCTTAAGCAGTTCGTCCCGTTAGCACAATATTAGCCTCTTACAGAGAATGGGAACACTTGAAGCTGCCAACGTTACTTCAATAAAGTTGCAACACATGGACATATTTTAACGAAACCGTTAAATATCGCAACTTCTCACGGTTTCTGACTTCCCTGCCTGGACTGCTTGTTCAACAGAAGTAACTTTACTCATCCAGGAAACTAACCTGTACTCATGATCCTCAAACGCCTCACTTTACTCCATGAATGAGCTGCATTCAGCACAGTTCCTTCAGATCCAGCTCTTTTCTTCTGGAGGGAGCCATTGCACGTGCTAAAAGGAGAGACAACTCGATATCTTCCAAAGGCTTTGTGTTTCTAATAAGCTGGAACGTGTTCCATGCTTGCCGTGGTTTTTGCCACCGCTTTTGTAAAGCTGGAACGGCGAAGTCCAGTCAAAGAGTTCAATAAAAACTTCCTCTATCCGCCGCTAGAGGCGCTCTTACTTGAGAAGCCCGATGCATTTAGTGAATCGGTTCGTTGAACGGATCGTTCCAATGAATCTTTTCAACAAACCGATTCAGTTATTCGTTTCTTCACCTATAAAAGAAAAAAAAGCGGATGTGTCTGATTATGTCAGCTAAATAACGGTTTCTTCAAGACGTGATATACGAATACACAACATTTTTGGACTCCCATATTGCCCACATCCTAATTTCAGCTTTGCAAACAAGGAATACATGTTGCACGACCACAACAATTAAATATGATATGTGCTTCAGCGACGTTTCCACCTTTATTTACAGTATGTCATTAACAGTTAATAATACCCCTTCAAGATCAACCGATTTTGGGGCAGAGTTCAGTCTTGCGCGATTCGATTTGACAGATTCTTCGAAAGGAACCGATTCCAATGAACGATTCGTTTGCGAATCGAACATCACTACAATGCACCATCAACTGTTGTGAATAAAAAGTAGATGCTGTTTGTAGCAAGGGGGGAAAAAATGAGATGGTTACAAGTTGGAACAGAAATAAATTATTTATCATTCCACATTGGGGCACATGCACATAGTGTGAGTTTATATATTTAATACATCCGACTGTATGTGAGGATCCTGTTCGTGGACTTGATTAAAATGCCCCAAAAGTGCTGTCTGGGAAGGTATCCCACTAATGTTTGGGATTAAAATGCCCCAAAAATGCTGTCTGGGAAGGTATCCCACTAATGTTTGGGATTAAAATGCCCCAAAAATGCTGTCTGGGAAGGTATCCCACTAATGTTTGGGATTAAAATGCCCCAAAAGTGCTGTCTGGGAAGGTATCCCACTAATGTTTGGGATTAAAATGCCCCAAAAGTTCTGTCTAGGAAGGTATCCCACTAATGTTTGATATTAAAAGGCCCAAAAATGCTGTCTAGGAAGGTATCCCACTAATGTTTGAGATTAAAATGCCCCAAAAGTTCTGCCTAGGAAGGTATCCCACTAAGGTTTGGAATTAAAATGCCCCAAAAGTTCTGTCTAGGAAGGTATCCCACTAATGTTTGATATTAAAATGCCCAAAAATACTGTCTGGGAAGGTATCCCACTAATGTTTGGGATTAAAATGCCACAAAAATGCTGTCTGGGAAGGTTTTGGGATTAAAATGCCACAAAAGTGCTGTCTGGGAAGGTATCCCACTAATGTTTGGGATTAAAATGCCACAAAAGTGCTGTCTGGGAAGGTATCCCACTAATGTTTGGGATTAAAATGCCACAAAAATGCTGTCTGGGAAGGTATCCCACTAATGTTTGGGATTAAAATGCCCCAAAAGTGCTGTCTGTGCTGGTAGCTCCTTAGGTTTCCGTACTATGATGTTTAAAAATGCTAGATGACCCAAAAACAGTCTAGGGAGGCACCTAAATAGGTTTGTAGACACTTTCTGTTTGTCTGTCTCTGTGGTCTGTTAAAAGCATTGTGCATTAAAGCATGTGTGGCTTGATCTGCCTTTATGAGTCAAGATTGGGGCTGTCATGGTAAGACTGTAACAATTAGGGCCTAGTTTTTCCTGGATCAACAACTTAATAGTCGATTCCAGCCAATATGTATCAATTAATTAGTTAAATAATTAAATAAAAATAAATAAATAGCTTCGCAGCTTGAAAGATTTTAATAAAAAGCTATATTTAATACAAATATAAATATATTTATACACACACATATAAAATATAGTTTAATGACTGCAAAAAAGTTCTAGACAAAGCTCCTATTACACTTTATTTATATATTTTAAACACACACACACACACACACACATATATATATTGGTGGTCGACCGATATTGTTTTTTTTGACTGCCGATATCTTGGAAAGCAGGGTGGCCGATATAAAGCCGATATAATTTTATTTGAATTCATAATCAAGAAATTTGAAATAATTTGAAAATGGATTAAAAAATAAATGTGTAAAATAAACATACTTATACTTTAGATGACAAAGTATTTTTCACAAATATTTAATAAAAATATAATAAAAAAGGAAGTAAACACTGTAACCAACAGGGCACTCAGTATTCTGGGAAGTTTGTGTGCATTGGGATTTGGGAATCATATTTTTTCAAATAAAGCCAAGGTAGCACTCATTTTACATACAGCACACAGTGAAAATGACATGAATATGGTAGTGGGCAAATGCATAAAGCGCAGCATAATTTAAAATCACGAGTTTAAAGTTTGTCGATCGTGCATCTCCAGTGAAGCTGAACTCTCCACCTGTCCGCATTCAAAATATCGGCTGATATATCGGCCTTGGTGAATTATCGGTCGACATATATATATATATATGTATATTTATTATTTAGTTTGGTATTTGATATAGTCAAAAATGTCAGGATGGCACAATTGTCCCGAGCTCTGAAGTTCCTTGAATAATAAGATTTTTTGGCATTATTTTAAACAAACAAACAAATAAATAAATAGTGGAGAAGTTTTGTTTTAAAATATTAGTGTTTTAAAGGTTTTGCAGGAATGAATATTTATTTATTTATTAATTTATTTAGGTGGGGCATGATCTAAAACAAAAATAAAGAAAACATTTTGTCGGGTCAGTCAGTGTGTTATAGCCAACATTCAGTCATCATATATATATGATGGTAAAATACCGGTAATATGAATTTAAAAGGTTTAAAAAGGTAAAATAATATGAATAAAAAAAAATATATAATTCATATTATTTGACCTTTTATGACATGGTAAGGTATTCATTCACTAAAAAATGTGTTTTAAAACTTTTTTGAAAATAATGTTACATTTGCATATTCAGGATGCAATGTTATTACTTTTTGCTTGGTGGTTGCACCACTTGATATTCTTTATTTTCTTTTTTTTTAAAACCCTATTAAACCTAAATAAATATTCGATTCCATAAGAACTTCGATTTTAAATCATTTGTTTTCCTTTCCGTCATCTTGGACATCCTCATTTGTCACTGACCCATGTTTATTTCGAGTTGTGTCTCTTTGGCCCCACCAGAACTCTCCGCTGTTCCAGTACTTGCAGGATCTAGGACACACAGATTTTGAGGCATGTTCTCCCGTTTCTCAAGAGGAGGAGCCGCCAAGCGCTGGTGGAGAGGAGGCACGGTTTCCTCAGGATATCCTCCCTTCTCACAGAGTGAGCGTCAGCACTTACCTTTTCAATACGCTAACCGTACAGCAACCTCAGTTTTGTATAGTGTTTAATGAAAGATCTTAATCCTTGGAAAAACTAAACATTTTTGTAAACTTGAGCTGTGCCGCTTGAATGAACAGAAGCGGATTAAATGCTAATCTGAATGGTGTTTTGTAACCAGCAGCTTTTTAAACACACATTGAAAGGTCAAATTAGAATCAGACGGATCCAATGCGAAATATTCATTTTCTCATTATTTATACACTACCAGTCAAAAGTTTTTGAACAGTAAGAATTTTAATGTTTTTATTAAAGAATTCTTTAGTAGAAAATAAATTAATACTTTTATTTAGCAAGGATGCTTTAAATTGATCAAAAGTGATGATAAAGACATTTATAATGTTACAAAAGATTTCTATTTCAGATAAATGCTGTTCTTCTGAACTTTCTATTCATCAAAGAAACCTGAAAAAACTCTACTCAGCTGTTTTTAATAATAATAATAATAATAAATGTTTTTTGAGCAGCAAATCAGAATATTAGAATGATTTCATAAGGATCATGTGACTGGAGTAATGGTGCTAAACATTTAGGTTTGATCACAGGAATAAATTAGATTTTAAAATGTATTCAAATAGAAAACCGTCATTTTAAATAGTAAAAATATTTCAAAATATTACTGCTTTGGCTGTATTTTGGATCAAATAAATGCAGGCTTGGTGAGCAGAAGAGACATCTTTAAAAAAAAAAAAAAAAAAAAAAACACTTTTCAAAACTACAGTTCAAAAACGTTTGATTGGTAGTGTATACCGATGTATTTTTTTCTAAACCTGTATGTCCTTATGTTCAGTGGAACACCAAAAAAAGAAATTTAGCGGAATGTTCACACTGCTCTTTTACCATCAAATGAAAGGGGATGGGGACTTGGGCTCCAAAGTGCCAAAATGTGTATTTTTATACAATGAATTATTTGGATATCAAAACTATATATATTTTTTTAACCTCAAAATCACTTATTTTATAGGAAATATAAAACACACACACTCCCTTGTCTCAGTTAAAGGAACACTCCACTATTTTTGAAAATAGGCACATTTTCCAACTCCCCTAGAGTTAAACAGTTGAGTTTTGCCGTTTTCGAATCCATGCAGCCGACCTCCGGGTCTGGCGGTAGCACTTTTAGCTGTAGCTTAGCATAGATCATTGAATCTGATTAGACCGTTAACATCTCGCTCAAAAATGACCAAAGAGTTTCTATATTTTTCCTATTTAAAACTTGACTCTTCTGTAGTTACATCGTGTACTAAGACCGACGGAAAATGAAAAGTTGTGATTTTCTAGGCCGATATGGCTAGGAACTATACTCTCATTCCGGCGTAATAATCAAGGAACTTTGCTGCCGTACCATGGGTGCAGCAGGCGCAATGATATCACGCAGCGTCTGAAAATAGTCCCCAGCTAGGTAACTTCCAACGT